TATAAAACCATATAATTCTAAATCTGAAAAAAGTTTGTGAAATGAATCTTAAATAATAGATACACTTATGATATGAAGGAAATGAATGCATTAAAATAAGAGAAAAATTAATTAACTAATAATACATTTCCAAAGATTTAACGCTTGGACTAACACTTGTATATTATTTTCTTATTTCATTTTATTAACGACAAGAATAATACGGAATGTGAATAACTAGGAGTTGTAGTAATAATGACAAAAAATTAATGCAAAAACTATTTGATTTAAAGCAATACATAATAATATTATATTGCTTTTTAACAATTATGTAATTTTTTCTAAGAATTCCAAACATGATTAAAAATGGGTTACATATCAAGTATTAGCGAAATGTTTGGTTATTTTTAGAGCAAATTGGGATTTAACTACTTATGAGCTTAAAGTTTTTGGTCAACTAATTGAAGTACATTTATAAAAGGTTGCCTAGAGCTTTTACTAAATATTACTATTTACAGACATAATGGGTAAATCGGTTAAAATCAATCGGAACATTTTGATTATTTACTTATAAAACTTTATATAATAAGTTGTTTATGTTTATAAAATATTTAGCTTTATATAATTATACAATGAGACCAGAAACAATGAAAGTTGATTTTATTTTATAGCTTATTGCTATACTTTAAAGTTTAAACTGTATTATTATGGTCTGTTGCACAACATTCTGAGCTCAAAAGTACTGTATCTCATTAAAAGGCAGAAATTCATCCAAAATATATCATTCAAAATGCTTTCAAAACATTTAATATATTTATCTTTTCATTAGAAGTTATGATTTTGTTTTTAGAAATTCATATTTAATTTAAATTCACTAAGAATTCAAGTCTTGTATTGAAATTAAATTTAAATTCAAAGAATTTTATTATGAAATATAACATAAATTTTAATATAAATTTTTTTATTTAAACTATTTTATTTTTACTAAAACTCGTTAATCCTTAGAATTATGCATTATAATTGTATAATTGATTTATTGCATACATATTCCATCATTTTATCATTTCCTACGTTACAAAGTATTTAAATTTTCAAATTTAATCCTCAAAATTAAACCCTAAATCACAAAAACAAGAGACAGAATATTCTTGTTTTTATAAAGTAGAGTTGGTGTGTGTTTTTGCTGTCGGTTTGTTGTAGTTTAATATGTTTACTGTGAGAGCACCTGTACTCCAATCAATTGGTTTATATACCTATGATTTAATGATGAGCTCTGCTATGAATTTAACGACCTTTGAGTGCATTGTTATACAATACACTTGCGATCATTTCATTTGATTNACCTATGATTTAATGATGAGCTCTGCTATGAATTTAACGACCTTTGAGTGCATTGTTATACAATACACTTGCGATCATTTCATTTGATTACAAATTCATTGTTTGTTTGTATACACAATACAAGGGATGAAACGGTTTCTAATTTAGCACTAATTTATTGTTCTTAAAAGTCATTTAATTATCTAAAAGTCTTTATAAAATGGACTTATCTATGGGTTTTCAATTGCAACTCATGACTCAATTATAAGCAACTTTTTCTACAACTTATATTTATATTTAAAATGTCTATAAATTAACTTACATTTAAAATCTATTGTTTAAGCCTATTCCTGTAAATTGAAATAAATTATAGAAAATTCAAAGTTTCTCATTATATTTAAAGTCAAAATATATTTTATTTTCTCTAATTTATTATTAATGACAAACTTATATAAATATCAGAGGACTTATAAGTAATATATTTGTTTTTGTATTGAAGTGCGAGTGAAGAACAATAGGCCGAGTGCTAGAAGAGTAGCGAGTGGTGGGTCCGCCTGTAGTGACACTCAATCTTTCTCTGACAGCGGAAAGTCAGACAACAGCGGAGGCAATGGTTCGGACACTAAGTTTGCATCCGATTCAATATCTAACGGTCTGTTGTTTTGTTTGATTAGCCATTCATTAAATAACAATTTATATAACGTTGAAAATGTGTTAATTAGGTTCGCGTCGAGACTCTTCAGGAGGCAGTTCTGTGACAGTGAAGGGAAGCATTTGGACACAACGTGTTGAGGACACGAGTGAATTGGATGTCTTGCGTCGAGAACTCGTCAAATCCAAGCAAACAATCTTTGAATTACAAGAAAAGGAGAGAAAAATGAAGGACAGACTCGCGGAACAAACACAACGAATGCTCGAAAGGGGCGTTCGCTTTGAGAATGTATGTCTTGGAGACCGCAGACCAACAGCTCTTATCAGACGATACGGAAACCTTTACGCACAGGGTTTGCATCCAATGACCATTAATTAACGCATTCATTAATTATTCAATTGGTTATACAATTATAGCACGAGTGGACACATTGGATGCGTTGGACAGTCTTCAGGCGCTTAGAGACGCCGATGAACTCAAATCGAAACTCCTTTTCTCTGTAGTTGTCGTAAGAAATATTTTGAAATGTTTTCTTTCTTTTATTCAATAATAAATGACAAAAACATTTAGTGATTAATACTTGTAATGCCTTTGATTTTAAAGTTGGCGTTTCGTTCGGTTCAGCACTTGTTAGTAGACATAAAGAGTCGATTGAATCAATTGCTTCAGATTCCCGACTCATTAGAGGTGCCAACTATTGATCCGTCTGTTAAAGAGCTCGACTCAAGCGTTAACTCCTATCTCAGGTCAACCACTGATCGATTCGATGTCAATAAAAACGTTGAGGTATTTGTTGAGAGAGATGGAGAGAGAGAGAGAGAGAGAGAGAGAGAGAGAGAGAGAGAGAGAG